CGAAGGCAATTCGTGAGCCAGGGGACGGGGATGGGAAGTGGGGGTGAAGGCAGCCACTTGACATGCGTGAAAAAATGAGATGTGTGAGCAAGCTTCCATAGCTCGTCGTTACTCAAAGAAAAGGCCACGAGTCCCCTATGTACACACTTTTTGCGCTACCGTATTCAAAAAATTGGCGTGCCTTCTTACTTGTGTTGAACCGTTTTCATGGATGATAACCAAAAATTTTCTGAAGAACATCCCACCAGTGTACAGTTTTTTCCCCAAAACCTATAATCATCCCATTACTTCTCTATTTTCACATTGCTAATTCTCTTTTCCGGATGTCTCAAATTTTTGTATAGCTGTTGGTATGTGAGAAGTTTGGTCTATTATATTGCGTAAGTTCGCTGGCTCGATTTTCCGCGCCTATTACTAAAAGAGTGATGCTTTTCTTCAGAATTCCTGCTTCGTATAGGGGTCTAGTTCAAATGGTTTTGAACCCGACTGGATGCTTCAGTAAACCATATTGATAGAATATTGAAGGCAGTGAACACGGTGGCCGAAGGGCGGAGCATTCTGATTACGTCGTTGATCGTGATTGGTGGATGAGCCCCTCAGCGCAATGGGGTGGGGTTGGACTCACCCCCCAGCGCCCTTCCACCAATCACGCTCAAAGACGTCACCAAAATCGCTCCGCCCCTTCAGCCATCGTGTTCGCTGCCGTTAATCTGGAATTTAGGCGAACTCAAAAGCCTCTAAAATAGGTTGTCACTCTCGTTTTCAAATTATAAAAAGCTGGAAGTAAAAATTCGCTCCAAATACATCTCCTTATTTTTCTTTTATTATACTTTACTTGATTTCGTTTAATCACAGAGAAAAAGAAAAGGAAACGAATACCGTTTGATTGAATAGTAAATTTGGAGGTTGACTGCCCGATGGCTATTGCATTCAGCTGCGATCCGTCTGGAAAATGTAATGGAACGAACTGGGTGGAGGCGTCTGGTACAGCAAACAGGATGATTACCTTGTTGAACTGCCACCGTAACTCCGTCGCTATTTTTCACGTGAACAAATAATGTGAGTGGAGTGGAAAAATCCTCCGCTGGGATAGGGATCGTCGCATTGCAAGAAGTGTCAGATGCGAGTACGTTCAATATAGGAGACGAGAGAGAAGTGGCCTTTTGAAGCTATTGGTACTATGTAGTTCGCGAAGTAATCCTGAAAATCAACAAATTTCCAAAACAAGCAAACATCGCCGTGTGGAGCAGTGGCTAGCAATCCCACTTCCGAAGCACGAGGTACGGGTTCGATTTCGTGCTGAAGCAGTGTTTTGTTCAAGATCTTCACAGAGTTCACACTGGTTCTAACCCACTGACTACTGCCATTGCGCGCGCACTGCGGGTATCTTCTTTTCATATTTTTTCATCAACAATAGTTTCCCATCCATCGCTATTATTGAATACCTTGCCTTTCGGACCTGGTAATAATACGGGCTGCTCTGGGACACGAAGGCGCAAATGGGAAGCGATAATGAGTTTTGTCCATGAGAAATTGTGAGCCGCCGGCGCGCCACGCTGTACTCAATATGCCGATCGGGTGTACCCCAAGAGGCCTGTCGCTCGACGAAGGAAGAGACGCAGGTGCGGCAAAGGACGAGTCGCAGCGCATCCTGTAGCGGTTAGGCGTCAGTTTAATCAGAGGTGTACATACGGGTCTCGTATTGGACCATGCGCTGCGACTTCGGTCTCCCGTCTGACGTGTCTTCCTTCGTCCGCGCGACGGGCCTCTTGGGGGACCCCCGTCAGTGTCAAAAGATATAAACATGTGGTATTAACAAATTATCTATGAGGGGGGGGGGAACAATGAGTTTACATCAACATTGAGATTTTGCAGTTTTTTCCCCTATATTATTCAAAGCACGCCACCAGAAGGGTTCATATTTTGGCTACGTTATGAAAAAAAGAGGTGTGGAGACTTTGTCTAAGGACGATGGGAATTTGGTTAAGTGCAAACTACTGGTTCACCTTGTCGATGTCACTCACTTGCGCGAGAGAGATCGCGTGATTGGATGTGCGTCCCTGCGCGATTGCCTGGCTGGCTGCGTGGTCTCTGCGCGATTGGTGTAAACTGTAGCGCTTTCAAAGAATGCAGCCGGTTTTTAGATTTGATATTTTGATTGTTAGTGCAGGTTGATGGAATTAGACGCGGTAGTAAAGCGTGTTATGGAGTTGCAGATTTGCAGTATCAATGTTTGTTTTGATATGGCTGTATCAACCCATCCCCAACGCACCCAAAATGTTAATAATATCCCCTGAGACGCTTGAGGCATACCACATCGGGTTTTTCATCAGCGGTAATATGAATATATGGTGGATGATAGCGATGGAGATGGGGCAGAACGTGGACCATCGCACCAGAGTTTCACTTGAACGTACCTCTTCAAAGTCAGTTCGATTCGCAATAAACGGTACTCCATTGCCTAGCATGGCCAAAGTTGTGAAATTGGATGCATCTTGTTCAGTGAAGACCCGAAGTTCGGCTCTTGTGAAGATAGCTGTTTTGCTATCGCTTCGTCGATGGGGAAATCACCTCCACGCGATACCAACGCCACCAATCCTCGTGCAGTCAGCTAAACAAGTAGAACTGAATCAGATTCTGAAGCCTTTACCATTTGCTGTTTTGAAACTCTTTCGTGCTCTTTCTAAACCATTAGCAGAAGTCGCGATATCAGGAACTCAGTGATCTGCTGATCACTTTGGCCTACTACACGTAATAACTTCGTATAGCATACATTATACGAAGTTGGGTACGCACCTTCGGTAACGCTAGCTGCGAAGGCATTGAGAGACTGAGCGCAGAATGGAGAGCGTGAGGCGAGAGAGCACAACAGACAGCCTGCTGCGGATCGGGGAACATTGAAGCTGCTGCAGCTCACCTTGGAGAGAAGCCTTAACGCCCTTGCTGGGTGATTTCTGCGCACGGGAGTGCCACACCCGTGATTGCCCTGTAGGAGGAGTACAAGCAAAAGATCGTCAAACGAATTGTGCATGGAGTTGCTGTTAATAAGAGCCGAGAGAGAGTGTAAAGGAAGAGAGGATAAGACAACTTATAAGAAAAAAGAATGAGCCAGAAACAAAGCAGGGTAAGACCACAGGGAGAGGGAAGTTTTGCGCAAGAAGATGGCGCGTGCTCAGTACTACCAGACATGAACGACATCTGACACAGATAAAGCAGAGTAGGGACATGAGTAGTTGTTGGACCAGACATTGATGGAATCATTGAGCAGCGGTCCATTGGCCTGAATCTTTTAGATAGTTGTACCTTACGAGGGGAGCCACGGACACAAAACAGGCAGGCGAAGGCTTCAGAGTCCATTTATAAAGATATTAGGCAATCGCAGTGAAGCGAGATTAGAAAAGCAAAAGGGAAACGTGAAGTTGAAGAGGCAATGACGAGAAGTCCTAGGGCGAACGAACCGTAATAGACATTAAAGGTTCAATAGTTGTTACTCCTACCGAGATGGAGGCAGGACACAACCAGGCAGGCAAAGGCCTCAAGAGTTCTCTTTGTAAAGGGCATAAAGCATATCGCAGGAAGGAGATAGAAGTAAAGAGATACGTGAAGTTGAAAGAGGAATGAATAGAAGCCTAAAAAACTAACCTGATTGATATGGAGTTAGTTATAGTGCTTACTAGTGGTAGTTTTTGACACAACTCTATAACTTTTCCAAGAGGCACAACGCAGAAGTCGTGTGAACGGTTTCCTCCATCTGTAGTATAGACCCCTAGAGGACAATCACAGATGTGGCGTTCCCGTGCACGGAAACCACCGACAAGAGCGCTTGGGCCTTGCAAAGTAAGCTGCTGAAGCTGCAGTTTTTTTTTATCAGGCTGTTGTCTGGCGCTCTCTCATCTGTAGCGCTCTCTCGCCTCATACTCTCCTCTCCGCGCTTAGTCTCTCATTCCCTTAGCACAGCCGATTAGGAAGGTGAGTGAGCCCTTAACCTAAGCGTTTTCGACGGATTCCTTTCCTTTTTCCCTCCTATGGCCCACTTCGCACCAACATATTGGCATCCGTGTGGAAGATCACACCAATTTGAGGTTTCAATTCAACCGTCACGTTGGACCAATTTCAAAATTTTACGACCCCTTTCCCCCTTCCTAGAGGCCTCGATACGACCCCCCCTCAGGGTTAACCCTTCACGACCATCCTCCACCACCCTCGCCTGCCATCGCCATCATGGGAGCGATTCCGCGAGACCAGTCGACACAGCCCAACTCCGCCCAGTTTTTTCCTCCAAAATAGCCGTCGAGCGGGGGCGGGGTATATATCGAATGTGAGCAAATTTCTCACAGACACTCAACCCAAAATCCCAGCCTACAACCTAATCCGCTCTCCGTTCCATAAAAATCATCCCTTCCCTTACTGTAACATTAACGCTACCTCGCGAAATACGACCCCCCCTCTTTTCCACCCCCAAATACGACCCCCACCCCCTCGTTGGACTTTGTCCAACGGACGGTTGACCCTGGTCATGAAGTTCCTCCGTCAAATGACACTCCTGTGATGCTGTTTCCACATACCTGGCTTTTCAGTCCTAGAAGAAGTGCATCATTGGGAGACTCAGGAGGAGCGTTGGGGTCAACATATTCAAATGGTTGCTGTTCGAGAAAGATTTTAAGAAGCTGGGAGTCAGTTGTTGATAGCACAAGCTCAGTGCTCAGTCCTCCTCCATCTGGAAAGGTAATAAGAGAGGGCGGCAGTACTATACCTATCTCTTAAAATGATACAGTCTCGCTCCTCAGCGTTGCTTGTTCAACTTTAGCGCAGAAGAAACTCACAGTATACTAGGACGATTTGGGTTCCAGCGAGTGCTTTCATAATTCCAGAAGTCACGTCTAGACTGAACGGAGCTGATGACCGCTCAACCACCAAGATAAGTGACGCGCAAAATTCGAAATATTTTTACAAAATAAAAATCACGACAGGAAACTTCTAGGAGCTACGATTTGGGGTAATCTGGAGATTTTGAGATGGCCCAATTGAAGTACGTGAATATTTCTCACACAGTCCAACTGCTTTCGTGCACTTGAAACGTTCACTCAAGAGGCACCGGTCCTGCAAAAGTGCTCGCGTGTACGTGCACAGATCCAAACGGCGCACTGTCGGCGCCTAAATATGAAACTATTAGGTACCGGATATCTTAGTGTCGCTTTTCTGAGTTCAGGAAGTTTTGGGGCCGATTACTATGGAAAATCAATATCCCAGAAGGCAGTTTTTGCTCATTAATACTGCGAAATATGTTGCTTACCGTCTTCTATTGTTGGTTCACAATTTAACTTTCCCCCAAATTTTTATACTTTCTTCTGAAAATTCCTGGGTCCAGTGTGCAAATTCGCATGTGTGTACCAAATGCATCAAAATTCTTGCTGAGAGCTGTAACCTCCGCCCACCAAACCAGCATTGCATTTGATGGAGGGAATACTACCATTTAAAATGCTCATCGGTTTTTCACAGTTTTCTTAAAAGACAGTAAAGTCTTTGAAGGGATGCCCGCAACCGTCGCCAAAAAGGTGGTCCTAGCTAAATCAGTCAAAACGGGGCTGCACCAGTCTTGTGCTGGAATGGTAGGACACCCTAGCAGTTACTGATCGATGGTGCACAGACGCTCTAACGAAGTTGATTGACCAAGAAATTCTAATAAATGTGCTCATCTGCTACTCACGTGTGCTCAAAAAGGGTGCGTTTTTGACCCCATGTGGCAAAAAGACTCCGGGAAAAATTGTCCAGTTGAGCTGGTAAGTAATAAATTTTCCACCAAACAGTGCAGACCCTACTCTAACTAAATGTATACATATTTTGTCCAGGCCCAACTGTTTAGCAAGGTAGAGGGATGATTTGTCAGATGATGTCAAATTCGACCTACCTCTCTTTTTCGTCTCAAAAAATTCCTAACTTTAATCGTACGAGGTTTTCACTCATACTGGTAAATGGGAAAGGGCTAATGAGTCATTCGATGGATATGCCGTTTCACTCACTGGATTTTGAATTAAAATATTGGTGGTCCGAAACTCGCGGTGAAAAAACGACACTAAGATATCCGGTACCTAATATTTGAGAAATTGGGCCAGCAGTAAAAAAGGAAAAGAACCCTTAAAAGCATTCAAGTCAAGGGCTTGCTCACTTTCGTAATGCGGTTGTTCTAAGGCAGTGAGAGACTGAGCGCGGAGACGAGAGTATGAGGTGAGAGAGCGCAACAGATGAGGCGCAGACAAACGTCCTTGGGTGGTGGGCATTGCAGCTCTAGTCTGAGTTGGCCAAGGACCCTAGCGTCCCCTGTCAGGGCTCGTTTCATGCATGGCCACGCCCCATCCGGACTAAACCCTCTCAGATCTCCGTAGACCAAAGCTTCACCCGACGAACTTTTGCCAGGCTGTGCCTTTCAAAAAAATTGTCGAGCGGTCGGACGACCGCCATTTTCTCGCCGACGGCAGATAGCTCATAGCTGCATTGCTCAATTCATCTATCTGCATCCAGCTTATCAGATCTGAGAGAATAAAGTCCATTGATCGCAAAAAATATCTTTAGGGGAATTGGCGCGTCTCGTAGCCCAGGAGATCTATTGAAACAGTGTATGATACAACTCGCCAACCACCAAAATCCCTGGCACGCACAGCATCCACCTCACGTGCTTCCGAAATCTATCTAACTATTCTAAATATAGCTATGCAGGCAACGTCCCTCTTGCTGTCTGAGTCTCTAGCCACTTAGCAGAGAGAGCGTCAGCGTTGAAGAGAGCAGCAGCGAGGAGAGTCGCATCAATGCAGAAATCGATGGGCAAGGTGGGAACCCCATTTGTCGGGTACTAAGCCGTTTTTCCTGGCTTCTTCTTCCCTTTTGTGCATCACAGACTACTCTAATTCATATTTTAACAATGGCTTTTCGACGTAAAATCCGCTTCTCTAAGCCAACCCTTATACGACAGTCAAGCACATTTTATTGAGAACGCTGCTAAGTTCATGTAGGAAAACTCAAGCGAATACGGTAGCTCGTAAAAAAGTAATACATGGTTATGGTAACATATACGATACTGAATATTACCTCCATTTAGGCAAATTCGCGTCAGACAATTCGGTCCACCCCATCCCAAATCGCAGACGCAACTTTGATCCTGCTGAACAACTGCTATCAAATTGTGGGAAAATATGTTCAATAATACCGTATTCTCATGTTCAAGCGTTCCAACCGTATTCAGTTTGCCATGGACGCAAGCTGACCTCCGTTGTCGAGACAAGTGAGGATTTGTGTTCGTGTTATACTGGTAGAGCCAACTGTGGAATCAACCTGAATAATGGTTCGTTTCATCAGATTTTCATATAGTACTAAGAATTCGTTACGGAAACTCCCCCTTGCTACTCACCCACCCACAAATATGTTTGTGGTAGATATAGTGGATAGCATGAAAAAATCGTGTATCCAAAGCTAATTTCATAGAGAAAACGCTTTTCGGCAGGCTCATGTGGGCACTTGCGAGGTGTGGGCCCGAATCGAAATGGGCTTCGTTACCCTTGTGAACAGCACGGTAGCCGGTAGCCTACCCAGCAGCTGTGCAACCCACCAAACTACTACTCCTCTAGCCCGTGCTGGTTGATATCTTTCTGACTTCTTACTCTTCACCACCCTTCAAATGTCTTAGCAAACCCTACTGAAGTTCGAGATCAAAGAACTCATCACGTAATCCAAAGGTGGGCCACCTACCGTAATACAGTCCGGTTCTCGAGACCACCAGAACCAGCAGTGAGGCGATCGGACTGTTGTGATTCAAAGTCACAGGTGGAATTGTCTGGTAGTCATAAATTGTTTCGACCCTTTCAGGCTCTGAAGAAGGCGATCCTCGCCGAAACGTAAGCCCAATAAAAGTTATTTATCAACCTCGTGAGGGGTTAAGAAGATATCAACTAGCGCCACCATGCCGAGGTTCATCTAAAGCCGTACATGGAGACTTATAGAAACCTTCAGTGTTAAATGCAGATTGCAATTCAAAGGAAGGGATGCTCTTCCTTTGAACAGTTTGTTTCAGAGGTGATAGCGTTCTGCCGCGAGTAGTTCCCAAAAGTAAAAGCAACAAATCGGTGGAGTCGAGGCACTTACATTGCTCGATTGTCCGTGAAAAAAACTTTTTTTCTTGAATTTTCGTCAACTAAGAATGATTACGTCTCAATTGTAGTCACGTTTCTCAGCTTTTGGCGAGCGAAGTTACCAACGTACATTTGAGCCCACTTCTAAGGCGCCTTACCTGTATTGCATAAAGTCCATTTGGCTGACTACACCACCACTCATAGTCGAGAACAAAAGGAAAAAGGCATCCATCTCTTTGAATAGCTGCCGCATGATCGACGAGTGTCTGAAATTAGGCGATTTCTCGTCTTCAAGGTTTTTTATACTTGTCACATCGCGCCATGTCCGAAAACATTTCAATAATTCTAGGGAAAGCACATTTTTCTCTATATTCATCATCAGAGAGTACAATTTGAAGCTAATCCCTTAAGTTTAGCCCACTTCCATTCACGATAACGATCATTATCTTCAGAAACCCAGCATATGTTGCGACTGCAGGGGGACATAATAAGTCACTATCCCTTCACATTGAGAGCAGAATTGACTAAATAAATTACCCAGAACTAATCAAATTATGTATCTGAACGGTGGTAGGGAGGATTTCGCACAGTCAGAGCTACTCAATACTTAAACGATCGAAGGATTATGTAGCAGGTTTGAACGATTACGGGCAGGCCTCCTTGAGCACGGTGGCGATGAAAAATGACGGATGAAAATGGAGTTGGAGGCAGGGTCGGTCCTATCGTTGCTACTTTCCGAAAAAATCTTACGACCCCCCTCCCCCAAGGTGGATTT